ACACTGTGCCGATACTCGATTGTTACATAAATGCGCGTAACACATTCTAAAATAACTAAAAAAAAAAACAGCGTACTTTGGATATTCATTTGAAAAGTAATGTAAAATAAAGGGAAAAAAAACGTAGTGCGCATTGTCGTAGAACGAACGTAGGATACAGCACGGTCATTCGAAGCACTTTCCCCAATTGTGTAGTAGACTTAATACGTATTCAAAACAGCCCGTGTATAGATATTGAATACTCGGCTATTACCTGTGATTTCAGGTAATGGCCCCGAGCGAAAGGCCTCCGGCTATAATTTTGCGTATCTGCCCCTTCGTCAGGCGGAAACGAAAAATCATATACAGCTCGGAACGAGGGTACGTAGTCGTTTTTGTCATACCCGCCTTTCTCTCCGGGGATCAAGTAGGATCGAGACTTCTCGGGGATTAAGGAGGATTTCCATACGGGTCGCAGCATCATCAACGTCGGCCCGATTGCCAGTGGAAATTAGCACGCGTATGCAGATTAGGTGAAAAGGCGTATACCAAGCTAAAGTGGAATATCGAAATAACGGTCGTGTAACGATTTAATTCAGTATAGAGAGCTCGCTTTAATTCGAAAGCCCGCGAACGAGATTCTCCATGAGCCAGCCACGCGTGTATTCGCATTATTTTCCAAATGGCGGGGGCCCGCCGCATCGCAGTCGGGCGAGCCGCGTTTGCGAAATACGCAACATACGAAGTTTGCAACGAGCACCAAAGTTCCAAACATCGCGCTCGTAATTTCGAAATGTGGCACACGCACACGACAAAAAAATTCCGCGCCTCATGGCTGGCTCATATCTCGCGCGCGTGCGACTCCGTTGGAATCCGTTCGCATTATCACGTCGTATCTGATATTCGTCTCTCGGGGATCGCGACAAGAAAAAAAAACGTGCCAGCGAACGAGTAAGAGCACAATAAAATTGCCGTTTCGGCAATCAGCGGGCGCGACAAAGCAGATATGTACACTCGTCTTCGCGCGGTTTTATTCCGCGCTCTACTCGGAGATATTCGATTTTGCACGCTTCAGGAATAAGGTAGCAAATAGCGATTCGTGTTACAAGTGATAATCAAAAGTCTCCGCATTATTTTCTTTGCCGCGTGGCTGCGTCCGATCGACATTTGGCGACAGCGAGCCGTCTCTCTTTCTCTCTCTCTCTTTCTCTCGCTCGTTCGGGTGTGCGAAACAACTTTGTTTTCCCCCTACGCTTTTAACGCGGGTGAGAGAGAGCCCGACGGGCACGACGAGCTGCCAAAACCCGAGGCGAATTACGAAACGTAAGCCGCCGGCCGGCCGAGCGAATCGATAAGCCCTTACCGAATTCAGGCCTGCCTCCTCGCGAAATTGCTAATTACGGCACCCCGGCCAGGGCGCTCCCCCGATGCGCGTTACGGCGCGCACCGGGCGAGACCGGACTGAAAGACCCGGGGACTACCGTCGTCCAGGACAATGGCCATCGTCGAAAACGAAGGGCGACGGGCTCTCCATGTTAATGGCCAGGTACAGGGAGATACATATACCCGCATCGGAGAGCGCACGGTCGGGTCGGAGCGCACTGGTTGCGCCCGTGTGCTCCGATGGAAACTACCCAGCCCCGCGCGCGCATATACGGGGTGTGCCCAAAAATCCAACACACACACACACATACACACCCACACACACACACACGCGCGCGCGTGCATCGCCGGGGATATATGTATATCGGAGAGGTTTCTCGTCGTGTCGATACGGCCGCGGCCGAGATTCGATCGGCGGAGAGTTGTCCGACTGTACCGTGACGGTGACGAAACCGTCGAGCGTGTACACACACACACACACATACACATGCACTACCGCTCAAAGAAGCATTTGCCCATTCTATTTTTCTTAATCAAATGAAAAAGAGTGAATTTCTATTTTCTTTTCTAGTCTTCTAGAATTTCTATAGATGTTACGAAAAATGCTTCTTTGGCTCAAAATTTTGTGTTCTATCCAACGCTTATTTGCTGCTACAACAACGATACAATTCAAAAAGCAAAGTTTTTCAGAAAACTAAATTTCATTACGTTTCGAATCATTAAAATTTTATAATATTGATTTCGAAATGCATATTTTGGTATTACAATAACTGATTGTAGAGGAATAAAAGTATAGTCTTTCTTTTTTCCTTTATGTTTTCGTTCTTTTTCCGCAGGCAACTAAAAACAACAATTTTTTTTAGTTATCATCGTTATTGCGGCAAATGCGTGAGCGATATGTAAAAAAAAAAATAGCAGAGTTAAAATGAAATTTAGACATAACAGAGACACGTACAAAAATCGGAATGGCAAATACTTTCGAGCGTTAGTATGCATATATGTATATGGGAGGAGAACAAATATTACACGGAGGTATCCACCGCGCGTGAGCTTCGATATATTTTTGCCAGGACTATAACTTTCGAACGGCGATACGTAGACGTGCCAACTCGACGCTCGTGCGTCCGTACGTGCGTGCGTGAGTTTGCGCATGCATGTCGCATGTCTTATACGTGCGCGTTACTCGGGTTTAACAACCATCGTCAACGGACGTACGTTATAAGGCCCCGATGAGGACAACGTACCGAGCACCGGCAATCGCGAGCGATAGCGTGACGGCGAGGAAATCGCGATCCAGAAAGACGTCCGCGACGCGACGCGACGCGACGCGACGCGGCTGGTTACCGGTCGACCGGCGAGCGACAGATGGTTTCGAGAGGAGAGTACTCGATCGAACGTAAAAAAAAAAAAACGCGACGTAAAACGACAAAATATACGGCGTCACGGTAATCGGATTTTCCCGCGAGAACGGCAACGACCGAGGGATTCCACTGATTCTCCAGACGGCCGGAATCCGTCTCGCTCGCGATATATATTTGCGATTTTATCGTCGCGGGCTTCGCGACGTTCCCTCGAGGTGCAGCGGCAACGCGGACGATCGGTTACGCGGTCGTGATCGAGCGAGACGGGAAGCGAGCGAGGCGGAAACCGTGTCAGCTCGCGGCGCGGTGATTCGCGTTTTAAGGCGCAGAGCCGAACTCTTATAATCATACCCGCACCCGTGGAAAAGTCTAACAATATAAATAAGTCCCGATGGGCATTCTCTCGATGACGCTTCACGACTGGGTTGTTCATGCGCCCGCCATCTCGATTTCCGCGGCGAATATTTACGTAAGAAAGTGCGACGCGGCGAGGGGTACTCGCGCGTGGAAGGAAACGGACGCGGGTTGCGACGCTGTGGAAAACTGGTGTTGCTGGCGATTTGAAATTCGACGTCGCGCCGGGTTTCTGTATTCGAAATCATTTCCGCCGCGCCGGTCAGTACATTTCCATGCGGGAAAAAAACTGATTTAAAAAAATATACAACAGAAACTGACGCATATCTCTTAATAATTATCTCTGATTAAGTGATAAATGGTAGAGGGGGGAGGGAAGCGGGAGGGAGAAGAAAAGGCAGGAGCAGCGACAAAAACGGTGAATAATTCATGACGTCGATGGCAGAAGTTTCTTAACGCAGTTTACGCCCATTTCGACAACGCGACGCGTACAGAGGGAAATGCTTCGCGATTTCTAGGTTACGTCGAAACCGATCGACTTGCAGGGAGAGTCCGTCGATGTTTCCAAGCTACCAGGTTGCCACCGGTCGTCCCGCGGAAGCCGCATCGTGGCCGTTTTCGCGACACGGCTACCCTCGGAGCCGCGTTTGTCGCGCTCTCGCCCGTCTCCGGCGAGCGCGGGAGGCGCGAGAAAGCGTTCGGGAGAGCGGAGCGGAGAGAGATCCAGGGAGATACTCCGATTCCTCCGAGGAGAGTGCAATTGAGAGCGAGAAATTCCATCGCTCTCGGCCGAGCCGAAAGACCGGCGTATCTCGTTCCTCGTGTGGATCGCGGTTCGCCTCGTTCCGGGTGAAATAAATAACTGTAATGCATCGCGACGCTTTTCGGCCGGATCGGGTTGCTCGCGGACGACATTCAAAAATAAGACCCGCGCGCGTCGACGTGCCGGGAGGGGAATGCCACCGCGCCACTCACGACGACGACGACGACGATAATGAGTCCCCCGCAGTTTTGGAGGTTAGGTCGGCCTCCGGTCGGCTCGGGCGCGACAGATGTTTTCCAGGGTTTCGGTTTCCGATTCCGCGATTGTACGGCACGCATGTATAGAATAGGAGAGCCATAGTTAGGAGAGCTATTCAATCGACGGGACGGAGCCTGGTACGGGGGAAAGTGCGGACCGACAAAGTGCAGGCACTGATAGACTGCCAGCCACACGCAGACGTATGCCGAGGGGGGGAAGAGAAAGAGAGAGAGAGAGAGAGACGGGAATACGCGGACCTTTCGCCCGCGAGGAAGGGAGAAAGAGAGAAAGAGAGAGCGTGAGATACGCGTTGTCTCGGCTAGGTTGTTATCGCGAAGTTCTGAAGACCCACGACCGACGTCACTGAAGAAGATACCCAGGATGAGGAGGAGACTCTTAACTTGTTTACACTTTTCGTACATATACGCGCGCCACGGCGTGCGCGTACGTGTACGTGTATTTTTGCTCGGTAACGACGGTGCTGGTAGAGTCCACGTATGGGCTCGCACGCTCGCTCGCTCGCTCGTTGGCCGTTAGCGTCGAACGCGCACACCGTGTATAGCGTGTGGCAAAGCCAGGAACGGACATTTCACTCCGCTCCGTCCTGTCACGGCATGGGTGCGGGTCGTCGACGAGGCTCCGAAGTATACTCGCCCCCGGAGTCCGGAGTATATTACTCCGAAAAAGCGAACGAGATGAAAAAGAGAATCGGAGCAGGCGGATGAACAAACGATTCGTGGAAAATTTGTCTCCCAACGGAGATGGACAAGTCGTAGAAAAATATAAAGAAATTCATCGCGAGAAGAGAGACGACGAGCGAAAAACGGCAAAGAGAAACTCACCCGAGGAACACACATACACACGTACAAACATACACATATATACACATATACTCCGCTCACCTTCTCGCTTCTTGGCCAGTGTCTCTCTCTTTAGGGACGGGCCCGACGGTCACGTAGCCGCATGTTCCGCTTATCCGCGGGCTGTCTGTACCCCCGTCCGGTTTGTCGGCCTCCCGTCAGCGACATACAGCCATCTTGCGTAGCGACTGGTCTGGCTCGTCGCGCGGACGCCTTCGGTGCGGTGGCCCCCGGCGAGAGCGACTGAGAGAGGAGCGACGGCGACGACGGCGACGACGGCGGCGGCGCGCTGCGGTGGGGGGCAGGAGCGGCCGCTGCTGCCGTCGGGCGGCACGTCGCGGGCGGACGGGCGAGCGAGAAACGACGACGGCGGCGACGACGACGACGATCGCGCCGCCTGATGACGATGCGCGGCCGGTAGGACGGAGCGAGACGACGACGACGACAACGACGAGGACGACGAGGACGAGACGCGGCCCCGCCGTTCAAGTGCGTGTCGCACCAACACGCGCGCACACCACCACTGCCGCTGTCGCCGCCGGGCCGGCGTGCACGCAACACGCAGCGGCGCGTTCCTCCTCACCTCTGCGGCCGCACGATCGCTCACCGAAGTACCATCGGAGCGCCTCCGCGCCGTCACCGCGCCACTAATGTTGTCACTGTCACCGTTTACTACCACTGCTGCTGCCGTCGTCGTTGTCGCCGCCACCGCCGCCGTCGTCACCGCCGCCGCCGCCGCCGCCGCCGCTGTTACGGGCTACTATCGCCACCGACGTGCACGGCACTGCGCCAGCAGCTTTACGGTTTTCGCCACTTTTCCACACGTTCCGTCCCCATCACGTATACGGTGGCCGTTTGTCCGCGTCGCGCGTGTTCGTCAACGTTTGTACGTTTCGCGTGTTGCGCGGGGGAGACTTGCTCCTACGCGATGCGGCGACACGTCGTCCTATTTCCGAGCCGTCCTGTCTCTCGATCGGCTCCGATCATACGGTATCCCTACGTAACTCCCTTTCTGCTTTCTTTCCTACACGCACACATATACACACACGCACACACGGTCGCGGTCTTTCTCTCGCTATTCTGTTCTTGTTCCTTCTTCCGCCTATTACTCGTATATGTCGCCGCGACGCAGTCGCCACTGTCAAACCGTTGCGAACCGCGCTCCACCACGCACTAACCGCGACCGCGATCGCTGGATGGAGTCAACTGCCGCGTGACGGGACGCGGCGGTCGGCAATTTCCGTCGCCCCGTCACGAATCCGCCGCAGTGCCGGTCGAAACACGGGCGTCCGCGGCACCCCGCCGGTGGCCTCTAATCGAAACTGCGGCGAAGTCACGAGATCGCGACTCGCACCCCTCCCCCCTCGCCGTCGTTCGGGTTAGGAAAGGATCGTATTTTGCAACGATGCATCCGGCCGTTTCGCTGACAATTGCATTTCCTCGATTCGAAAAATCGAAAGATCGACGGAAAACACGCGACCTTTCCTCGACCGCGCGACGGATTTCTTTTTTTCCTCCTCTCGCTTCGCGATGAACCGAGCCGCGATCGATGATTTCCCGAAAATTGCCTCGCGCGTAAACAAGAGCATTTTTAACTCATATATGTGTATGTATGTATATGTCGTATATACCCTCGTGATAAGTAGCTAAAATTGCTTGGTTATTTGAATAGGAATCCGGAAGTTTTCGTTGAATTTCACGAACCCCACGATCCGAGCGATCACGCAAGAATTTTTCAGATGTTTCATATCGACGTAATCTCAATTTATCTCATCTTTACGTTTGCTCTCAGCCGCGATACGCGCAAAACGCGTGAGGATAATAAAGGAGAAATCTGCGGATTTATGCCACGTCCATGTATTATAATCTATTATTATTGTTTTTATAATCGCGCCTTATCTTTCGTCACTCGTCGTTTTCGACGCGTGGATACCTTCTGATTTCCATTTAAATTGCGTCTTCGGTTAAATCTAAACGTGCGTATAGGAGTGCAAAATTGGGGAGTGCGACCGTGACAAAAATTTCGACGATATCTCGACGGTTCGATTCTTACGAATCCAAAGTTACGCGAGAGGAAAGCGTCGCGGTTCGAGATCTACGGCCAGCTTTTCTCCGCCCAGCGAGAATACGGATTTTAGCTCGATGTTTTTACGGTTCGTTCATCAATGCTGTCGGATCTTCGCAATGCTAGCTTCGACGTCACTATATAGAGCACGAGCGTAACAGTTTCCACCGTCGGTGGTTTCCATTCTCCTTTCGTGCCGCACCGTGTCGAGCGGACCGAGTCGTGCCGTGCCGCGCCGGGCTGATTCACGTACGTAAAGAGTATGAAAACAATAGGAATAGGCCTGTGTCGGGGCCAGACCGCCCAGATTTATAATAAGCGCTGGGACCGGAGTGAGAACAGGTAACAATTTCACGCGCGTCCTTAAGCACTTTCACGCGATTAAAATCATCAGGCTGACGGTTAAAAAAAAAACCTCGGAGCTTAAACAATTATACAACGAATCGACGAGAAACTGCGTCTCTCGGGCTGTACAAATATGTTTGGCTAAATATAACGGACACACGGTTTTTATGCCCGCTCCCGCGTGGACGTGATTTATAATAATATATATGATGACGTTACTCTCCGAGAGTTCTTTTGCGAAAAACTTCTTTCCTGCTGCGCAACGCGGACGGTGTATTTAAAAACAGGCTTCGCGATTTAGTATGTAATATTAAACTGAACACAGGGGCAATCGATCGTCACGAGGCGAAAAAATTCCACTCGCCTCGATGCTCGTAAAAGAAGGGAAACCAACGAGAGAGGCCAATAAATAAATCATAGATTTTATACTAGATTTCATACACATAAACATTAAAAAATAATAAATGTTGTCTGAAAACATAATGGACGTTTCCTTCTTTACATTGTCTGTTATATGTTAATAGAAACTGATTCTTGAACTTATTATTGTTTCATAGTCATACAATCGTGATTGTTTTATATGAGCTTTTAGTAGCCAAACCGATTAAATGAATGTAGAACAAAGTTGTAAATTGTGTGTCCTGGTACTGAAATTAAGAAATTTAGAAAAAGTAGAATGATTCGGTTTAACTTCTGATGTTATTCATTTCTACAACGTAGATTAACTTTAATCTCGATTTAACTTACTTTTTCTTTTTTAGTTTTAAGAATTAGAAAAAATAAATAAAAAATTCAACTGAGATTAAAGTTGTTTTACATTGGTAAAAATTTCTTATAGAAATTTAATTAATACTGGAAGGTAATGATTAATTACTTATTTTGAGTATTCAATAAAAGCACTGAACAGCAGTGCCTTTAATACTCAATAGATTTGAATTAATCAATAAATTTGAGTATGCTGAACTAAACAACAGTGCTTTTAATAATTTCCAATATTAAATTGTATTTCTGCGAGAGACAAGAAGCTCAGGGATTCTTTTTCGGTTTATATCTAAAATCATCTTTTCGATAATGACGTAATTTCGCATCTCCGTTCGGCCGTATACTTGCCGCCACATTACGCACCGTGAGAAGTGACAATATAATAAGAAGAAATCTCGAATCGCGACTCGCGCCCGCGTCGCGGAATATCTTCCCGTCTATGAGCCAAGTGAAACCGGATCTTCGAGAGAGAACGCGGCGTGTTGGTGCCAATATAAAGACAGCCGGCGCGAAATACTTCTAATTCGGTGCACGCCGGAACCGTGCGGAACACAGTGCGACACACACACACACACACATACACACACACACACACATACACACACACACACACACACACACATACACACACACACTCTCTCTCTCTCTCTCTCTCTGACCCCGCCCGTGAATAATTTTAGGCAATTTAAACCGTGAGCCATTTCAACAATCCGTGACAATTGGTATTTCGACCACAATAACGATTTCTATCGACGAATCTCAAATTTTCTATATCCGATTTCAAATAAACAAAACTTATTGAAAATTAGATGAACAGGAAATAACATGGAAAAATGAACACTTTGTTAAATCCTTCTTCTTTTTAAGTTTTCTAATGGTTTTTCAACAAAAACTATTTTTAAGTACATAAAAGATCTTTTTCCATAGATCCCAAAAGGATTTCCGAAGTTTTTATGTCGAAACTATGAGCTTAGATAATCAAGTCATCATTTATGTATACTTCTCACTATTGTATTTTTCACTATGGAACGACAATAGGTTCATTGGACAAAAGAAAAATAAAATAAAAGAATAGCGAAAATAAAGAAACATTTTTAGTACTAATTTATTCATTTTATTTTTCTGAAAAAGATTCTTTTTTATCTTTCTACTTCTCTTTTATTCCATGAACCTATTGTCTTTAAGAAACTGTGTAATTTTTCAATTTTAAGAAATCGTGGATTTTTCACTTTCGAACTTTTACTAGTAGGATTTTACTTTTTTTCAAGGTCCGTTGGTACGCAAAATCTCTTATGTGCGAAGAAAATTATATTTCAAGCATTATTTGCATCGATCGACGTATTTAATCGCGCAACGAGATATTGCTATCTCACGTTTGTATTTTATCGCCCGCGCCGTAAGATTCTGACGCGCAAGAAGCTACGCCGAATCAATATGTTTACAAAAGCGATACATTCGACTTTTGAACACGTTGTCAAAACGCGCGAAGATTTTACTTGCAAGATTGAGACATCAAGAGTAAGATTCATTTACGCAATTATCAAGATATTAGTAGTTACATGCAGTGAAATACTCGGGTTTCTTTCCAATTAAAAAAAAAAGCATTATGCTAAACTCGTCTCTCTCTCTCTCTCTATCTCTCTCTCTCTCTCTCTCTCTCTTTCGCTCTCTCAATTTCTCTATCTTCTCTATCGTCGTCGAAGCGCTAGCCCACAAACTCATCGGCGCGCATCCGCCTTGCAACTTTCAATCGCAAGACAATTCCGCTCGACCGGAGCAAGCGATAATTAGCGCGGCGCGACACCAGGGTGTACCCTAAGATTTTCCGCGTGTCACTAGGTCACCGTACCTGGTGTCTTATGTGCGTGAGGACACAGCTGAATACAGATCGCTCTCTAAATATCGGAGTGCCTGGACGGTCGCGTTCAGCAGCCGTCCATCGTGTTCCCAAAGTATGGCCAGGAACGTAGCTAGCTAGCTTGATACAGTCGAGAAAAACCGAACGAAATCACACGATTTCGCTCGTAAATTCAGCGAATCCTCGATCGCGGTATAAAGCGGCAATCACTTTGCCTACGTCGGGAATCATCGCTGATGTATCGCGCGATATTCAGCGTGGATGAATCGCTTGTTTTTGACAATATATTCTCACAAGTAAACCTCTGATTGTGAGTAATATATGCTCCGACTTTCAAATTTGGCACAAATATAGAACTACGAAAAATATTTCATCCATGTCTTTCCATTTTTGTCCATAAGCGGTTTTAAAGTTAGTCCTTTCAGTTTTATTATATCTCTATAAATAGAATGTTAATATATAAAAAACAAAATTTAATACAAGATACAGCAGTTTTTTGGATCTGATTACGAATACAAAATCAGCAAAATTATTCGCTTAAACAAAAAAATGATGAAATACAGTACAGATATTTATATGTTATAAAAGTTATTCGACTAAATGATTATAAACATGGCATTACATTTTTTGTAAAATAAATTGTTTTAAATAATTTGAACAATAATTTTAAATGAAATGAGTAACATGGTTGAAAAAAAAGTATCTTGTAGCGACATAAGTTATAATTTATGGAAAGACATGGCTGAAATATTCATTCATAAATGTCTTCTACATTTGTGTCAAATTAAAAAAAAATCGGAGTGTATCACTTGGATAGGTTTGCTTGTAGTGGGAAATTTGCGAATTGTTGGTGCACAAAAAACGGTTGATTCAGTCTTTCTCTCCTTTTCCTTCTTCGTTTCTACTTTTCTACTTCATTCTTTTTCCCAGTGTTCATCCCGTTTTGTTCCTCATCTCTCCTTTCTCTTCCCTTCTCCTTCCTCTCCCCTCTCAACCCCTCCCCCCTCCTCTCTCCAGCCTCTTTCCCTTTCTTCATAATACGGAACGAGTTTCCAGCGATTCAATGCCTTGGTCTCGCAAATGTGAAAGTACATTACTGCGGGCTCTGAAAGTTGTTTTGCTCGAAGGTTTACTTCTCGAACGGCCCTGGACCGTTCACTGAGAAAAGAGTCTCGCAAAAGAGTGTAGTGCGCAGGGAAAAATCACGAAAAAGAAGGAATTAGAATAAAGAGAGGAAACATTTTTTTTCATTGAAATTGCGCTCGACACAAATCGCCGACGACAGAGCGACGAAAAGATCGGCACCGGGCGAGAAAGGAAGGCGAGTATGAATCGCCAATTTGTCATTCAATTTCGTCCAAGCTGTGTTAAAATTTAATTGTACAATAGACGGATCAGAATGTATATATTAGGTAAACATATCCCTCTCCTCATCTTTATACTTTTTTCTCGTCGTTGTATTTACTAGTCTAAATTTTGTTTCTTAACCTCGACCCCCTACACAATTTTGCGTTATCGTTCGCTTTATCGTCTCCTTCCCCCCTTCCACTCGTGTGATCACACGTGTCTGTCCTCTCGAGACCATTTCTCTTCCGCGCCGTCACTCCATCACCTCTTCTCGACCGGATTGTATTTCTGTTATCCGTTAGTGCGTCATCAACGCATGTGCAGCGGTCCTCATATACGTGAGGAAAAGCGTGCAGAAGTGCGTCACACCATGCGCGATATAATTGAGGGTATAATTAACAAACTATATAAGAATTTCAAATCCAAAATAAATTACAACGTACGTTACGAGTCTATTTTATTCAAGATGCGAAGAATTTTTTTCGATTTAAGCAAGGAAGCGAATCGTTGGCTGTATTCAGCAAGAAAAGCAGCTTTGCAACTGCTTTGTAAGATTCTTTGATATAATTGATCTGTATGTATATTTAGATCTAGTGAAGAACTTTAAGAGCAAGAATTAATTGTAAAAAAAATTTTACAATTATTGCAAAGCTGTTTTTTCTGCTGAATGCAGCCATTGCTTCAACGAAAGGTAATATAAAAAAATATTGAACTTATACGACCTTCCCGGAAACAAAACCCTTAAGAGGGTTTATGCAATAATAGACACATCCTTGTAAGCATATCTCTCAAATCAACATAAGGTTTCGGTAGATATATGTATATATAGATCTATTAGGCTTTACTCGTGCGCGAAATACTTAATTATTTTACTAATAGAGACGGAGGAGGGAAGGGGGCCGAATTCAATTCACCGTATTTTCATTCCCATTTTCGTCTATAGCATTTCTTCACAGTACAATTATATTATATTTTTTTGTGTTTGCGATTGTCGTGGTTTCCGCGCTTCATAAGCCAGGAAGTCATTTATCTGTTTCCTCGCAAGCATATTACACGGCTTTCGAATATCGCTTTTTCCTTCTTTATGTCGATTATTTTCTTTATTTATTCTTAGCAGTTGCGTGTGCGCGTTAAAAACGCGCGTGATTATCGGTTTATATGAAACAAGAATACTTTCCATCGAACTCTGATCGTGCAGGATAATCTATTTATCGTTATCACGTAATAATATCTCTTGCTTTTGATATATAATATATGTATGTACACACATAAATATACAAGGTACTAAATGGTAAAGTGCTCGTAGACAGGTAGAGTGGATTAAATTTAATCGAAAAGTCCTGTACCATTTTGTATAATTGTCTCAACAGTTTATGAGATATTAAATATTAATAAAGATCAACCGAATAAGCGCAACCCACAGCCAAATGCAATCGAGCGACGAGATACGAGTGATACGACCGCTCGACATTGCTATAGGCAACGAGAACTTGTTTATTATAATGAGATTGCTTAGCAGTGAATAATAACGCTGAAAACGTTATAAACCGTGTTTTATTTAAGTATTATTTATTTATTTATTTTTGCAGACCTACTGTTATACCTTTCAAGTTTCCTAAGAAAAAAAGCAGAAAACTACTACATCTACTACTACAAAAGAGTCTCCAACAATTGAGGCGTCCAACAATGACATTTTATTGAGAGGTATAAAGGATCTCAAGTTCGAATCTCACTCTATTAACTCTATGTGCCTTGATTTTATAAGAAAATTGGAAATTTGAAATGCTATGAATAAAAGATGTATAAAAAAGAGGCGATAAAATGGTAACCCGAGAATTCATATTTCAATAAGAAGAGTCTCCAAGAATTTTTAAAAGAGAATTCTTCTCCAAAAAAGAGTTTTAAAAAATAGTATTAATTACTTCAAATTTCATATTTGTCTAAACAATGAATAATCGCGTAGTTTAAAATCCATGCATTGACACAATGAATAAAAAAATTAATTTATCCAATTTATTAAAACAATTTATAAAAGGTATTAAAACTTACAAAAGATTCGGCGCTCACGACATCTCGTTGATTCCACGGATAATCTCTCGGTACCAGAAACTCTAATTCCAGAAATTCGTACAGCATCGAACTTTCTGGATTCGACGAACATCTCGGTACGAGTTTCGGTTCCACAAATATACTTTCACAATTCCATGAAACTTCTTGATTTTTAATCGATAAATCCAAAGGAATCTGTATTATAGCACGATTATCTCTTGAATTTAGCCTTTTACATCTCAATCTGGGGTGCGACAGCAACTTGCATTGTTCTTGCACTTCTTCACAACTCTGCTTTGCCACACTCATTTTTATGATTTCTGAAGTTGTTCTTATAGTATACTGAAATAACATTTGTTTCTACATTACTTTTACACTATTATTTACACGTATTCATTACTTGAAGCAACTTAGTAAGAGAGTTTAATAAAAAGATCAAGAGTATAATTCTTGGTCTATCTCACCAAACTGAAGTTTTAAATGCACTGCACGCTAGTACAGTCGATTTTCTATCAAACATGGTGTTTTATGTTATATTCGGAAAAACTATCTCAGATCTCACCATACTAAAAGCGTACGTATGAAGCGTACACTCTTCTAGTCTAGCAAGAACTGATCAGAATCGAGAAACTAACTCCTATATTCTAAAATTCTCTAGAATTTTCCTTTTTGGACTTTGAGCTTCAACAGACAATAAAGAAGTGGAAAGGAGAAACTTGACAAATAACCATAAAACTAACCTGAGAAAAAGGCCTTTTATATCTATTCAAGTACACAAATCAGTAACAGCCAATGTTCTAAGGCAGGTTATATACCTGAGCAAGAATTTTCTACTTATTCTATTTTTAAGAATCGTCAGCAAACTAGCAAATTTTAATATCAAAGCATTTTAAGCGTGCTATTTCCAATAATGTATAAATAATAAATGTATTAATACATTTATAAATAAAAATAAATGTATTAAATAATTAATAATACATTTATTTGTAAATAAATATTTTTAATTATCGTTTTTTTCAACTCCCATGCGATCGACTAATGAAAACTACGAAGATCACAACGGGGAAGATACTCTCTGTTACGATCCGCGAGAGGTATCCCCTCAATGAAATCGCAAGGGAAGACTCTACCCAGGAGTACGATACTGGTACGGGAACGGAAACCGACGGGGCATAGAACGAGGCTCACTGCAGGAGTCCGGCTAGCCATCGTCTAAAGAAAACTCTGAGAGCCTTACGGATCTGCTAATACGAAAAATTAATTACCTACGATTCCTACGAATTTTGATCCCGTTACCAATCAGGATATATGTCGCGATTTGCGCTAGGAGGGATAGTGTTAATCACACACATAATGAGCCCGATTAAGTGAAGATCTTTTAATAAAATAATTCTTTCCGTTCCGTTTCATTTTATTAACTTAAATTTAATCTAAAAATATATCGGTTTTAACGTTAAATTCTAGATCAGCGTTTTACTTTACGCAATGTGTGTCATTTGCAGAATATTAATTATTAATTATTAATTATTACAACCAGATTATTTTCCATCCTGCACGCCAAGTGTATCGCAGTTAAAATCAAGTGAACTGCATATATCGTAAATGCAAACGTCCCAATTTTGCATTACCAAACATCATATCGAATGTAAATAAGATATTTCCAATTGCAATTCAATGAATCGAGATATTTCTATAATATGATAGGTTCAACGAATAATAAATAGCAGCGGATTAACGCTTAAGTTTCGAGACAATTTTTTCCCGTTTCGGCCGGCTTTCAATTTAATCGAACGTAATAACTTCGTATAGCATACAACTGAGTCGACAAGGCACACAGGGGATA